TTCGCGCAGACTGTCCAGAGAGAAGTGGCGCTCGACGTCCTCGGCGGAGTCGACGACGCAAGAGGACAACGACTGCTTGTGGGATTGACGCTGGAAAATCTTCTCCTCGATAGTACCCGTGGCAATGAAGCGATACACGAAACAGTCCTTTTTCTGACCGTCACGCCACACACGAGCCAGAGCTTGCTGGTCTGCTGCAGGGTTCCAGTCAGGGTCGAAGAGGACCAGGCGGTTGGCGCCGATAAGGTTGAGACCGCAGCCACCGGCCTTGGAACTGAGAAGGAAGACAAATTCCTCGCCCTCTGGGTTGTTGAACTTGTCGACGAGCTTCTGGCGCTTATTGACGTTCATGGTACCGTCAAGACGGAGACATCCATAAGCCCTTGAACGGCACAGCTTCTCGAACAAGTCAAGGGTGGAGGTGTAGTTGCTAATGAGCACAATCTTGTCGTTCGTGTCTTGGCGGATACGAGCCAGCATGCGATCAAGCACCTGCATCTTGCCCGAGTACCAAGGCTTGATATCCCTATCACGGCCACGCGCTTCTTTGGGAACGTAGTCTTCAGGGTAGCAATTCTCTGACCCAGGCAGATCGTCTCCAAGGTTAAGCAGATCTGGGTGATTGCAAAGCTTCTTGAGAATGTTAATGGCCTTGAGCGGCTGACTGCCCTTTCCACGAAGAAGGGCCTGGATGTTCGGACTGGTGATGAAGTAGTTGTAGAGGTCGAGCTGGAAGGGCGCAAGATTACAGAACACCACGTGCTCGTACTTGACCGGGAGATACTTGGAGAGAATGTCGTTGGTTCGGCGAATGATGAATTTGTTGACGATACCCAGCAGCTCGGACAAACATTCGTCTCCCTTCTTCCTGTCAGCCTCGCTGGCGTCGGCATCTCGTCCACGCAAAATTGGCAGCTCAAACCGCTTGCGGAATTCCAGACGACTTCCAAGCAAATCGGGATTGGCAAAGCTGATGAGAGCAAAATACTCAGACAAATCGTTCTGAATAGGGGTTCCGGACAAGATGACTCGCCGCGTGACATTCAGGTTGTTGAGTGCGCTAAATGTCTGGCTGTCTCCGTTCTTGAGTCTGTGGCCTTCGTCGCAAAGCATCAGGCCGATTTTGGTGTGCTTCAACTCCTCGACATTGAGACGAAGCGTCTCGTAGGAGACGATGATTACTGGTCGTGTAACGGATCGGCCGCTGGCAATAGCCCACTGGCGCAGCTGCCGCGTCAATTCCTCCTTCGATGCCTTGCCGTCGATTGCAAAGGGTGTGATGGCATCAGCACCCAACCACTTGACCAACTCATTCGCCCAATTGCGGACCAAACTGGACGGGCATGCAACAATAGCCTTCTGAATAGTAGACTTGCCAGCGTCGGGAGACTGCTTGAGCAGAGTCCACAGGAGTGTAATGCATTGAAGCGTCTTGCCGAGACCCATCTCGTCGGCCATGATGCATCCGTTCGCCTTCTCCTCGATCATGCCAGTGACGCATCTGTACATGAACTTGACACCCTCGACTTGATGCGGTCTGAGTACCTTGGCTAGCCTTGGATCAATCACGACAGGGACCCTGGGGTGCTCTCCCTCCACCTTCTTCTTGATTCCAAGAATCTCCGACAAGCTCTTGTGTACGAGAGGCGCGTCAATCTTCTCGGGCTCCGGCTCCTTCTGTTCCTCCTTCTTCTCAGGCACCTTCGGCTTGTCATCCACAGTGGGGTCGTAAAGTACGATTGAGAATTCGCCACTAGGGTCATGAAGAGGCTTCGCGACAAAGACAGCTCCTGTGCGCAGACCAAGGGTTGGCGGGGGTCGATTAGGGTTGAAGGCGGCCGAGTTCTTGTTGATGAGAGGTATGGAGAAGGCCTTGCGGAATATCGTCGACTTGTCCTTTACTTGGAATACTGGGAACTTGTTCGCGTCCCGGTTGGCTAGGGCGAGTCTGTCGGCATTGGTCCAGGGCTTGTCCGCGTCGACGGCTCCATCAGCGCCCTTGTAATCAACCTTTCTCTTCTTTCGCGCGGGGCGATCGGCAGAAACTGTTCGCGTCGCGGATCCGGGGCACTTGAAAGGCTTGTGCAACTTGTCAACGGAATGAGGAGTTGGCCATCTCTTAGAAGGGACATTCTCCTTGTTGGCGCCCGGGGTGGCGGTGACATCGGCAGTCCTATGGAAGGGTCCCATTAGCAATTGGCGTTCAGACGAAGAGTTCAGACGATAAAACATACATTTTGGGCCTCGATTGGCACTTTCGCAGGCCTGCAGATGCAAAGTGTTCAATGCCCTAGTGGTCGTTGCAGAAGGCAGGGAGTGGCGGACGAAGATGGAGGGGAAGAAAGTGTCCCGGTCCTGGTTGTTGATCTCAAGAAAGCGCGACTCGACCCGCGTCGCCACTCAAACACGCAGTCACGTGAGATGAGCAGGCATCCGTCGCACTAGTGCCAAAAGGCCCCCCTCCGAGTCCAATCAACACATTGCCGCACGGTGCACTCCTCGGAGTCACTGCAGCTCCACTTGCTCAATTGTCTGTTGCCTCTGCTGTTCAGGTCCTGGAGCCCAGATACTCACTAGTCTTGCGTGTTACTCAATCTTCATACGCGAAACCATCAAAAGTTGGAACGATACAGTCCTAGCCAACATCCGAAGGATTTATCATGCGTGAGAACCAGATTGGCGTCGCGTTAGCCTTCTTTGTCCTAGAGATGCAACTGACACTTTTCGAGGGCCATACGTGGCTACCCAGCTCGTGATGCATGAGGTCGTCGATGGAATTTGAGCTAATGTGCATTCTCGGACTTTGAGCGCCGGCAGAATTCTGATATATACCAAGATAATTATATAAATGCAGTTGCCATGCTTCGAGATCAATAGAGAGCGCTCCATTTTCCATGCAAGCCACAATGTCGGCCTCTCACGATGGTTTCCAATATAGCACGTCTATTGGCATTGGTAGCCTTCGCCTGGTCCGGATACTCCACTGCGGAGGCTCCAAAACTCAGCCGTTAGCTCTTCTCCTCGAAGAACACCCTCTGACTAACCTGCCAGCATACAACGCCCTCTCATACACATGGGGCTCTCCTGTCGCAACTCAAGATCCGGACCTTCATCCAGTGACAATCCTCCTCAACGGCCGCAGCTTTGATGTCTTGCCAAACCTCTACGATGCCCTCGTTTGGATCAGAGCGCGCAATGCATGCGATCTCTACTGGATCGACGCAATCTGCATCAACCAGGCAGACACCACGGAGCGCGGGATACAGGTCGGCATCATGGACCACATCTATAAACTGGCCGCTCGCGTCGACATCTGGCTCGGTTCCGTTACGGAAGATGACTGCCCTGCCGAGGTCTCACGGCTCGTCAATACAATGGCAGACAATACACGCGCTGATTTCGAATACACCTCCGAAGACACCTTATTCGACGATGCCACGCGGAGAAGATATGGCCTGGCAGATGTGTCAGAAGACGTCTGGTACGCCTTCATCGCCTTCTTTGACAGAACATGGTTCAACCGTGTCTGGGTGGTCCAAGAAGTGGCTCTCGGCAAAGACGCCTGCGTGCTCTGGGGTGACGAAGTCGTCCCCTGGGAAACCGTCGCGTACTGCTCGGACTTTCTATACGACAGCCGTCTGTACGAACAGCTATCCGAGATGCTCTACGAGAATAACCCGACTGTCAAGGGCAGCCACGTCGGCAGCAACTCATCGGGCATAGTCGCCATTCAGCGGTGCAGGCACGGCATCCTGACCGGCTGGGATGGCATGACGCTCGATCACATCATCGTCGGCGGTCCCGCAAGTCTATCTCAAGACGGCCGCGGCAAAAGCTACTGCGCCGGTGCGCTCCTCTTTCTCATGCTCCGCTTGACCTGTTGCGTCGAGGCAAGCGATCCCAGGGACCACGTCTTGGGGCTCATGGGCATCCTCAATCTCCTGCTCGACCTCAGCGGCCGCGAACGAACGGAGATACAGCCGGACTACCGCGCCTGCTCGACATCCGTCAGCGTATTCATAGACACAGCCGTGTTAATCTTGGAGGACTGCAAAAACCTCACACTCTTGACCGCCGTTCCCGATGACGCAGCCAAAGAGGTCTCTGGCCTTCCCTCCTGGGTGCCAGACTTTGCAGCCAGCGGACCCTCCGCGTTCCTAGGGATGAGATGGCCACCAGGCGAAGCATACTTTGACGCCTGTCGCTCTGTGCCAGCTGACTTTCGCATCTCGGACAACAGTATCCTGCATGTGAAGACATTCTGTGTCGGGACAGCCTCTTTGCTCGGGGGAGTCTACTCGGAGCTGGCCGTGATTGGAAGCTTCTCGCAATGGGCCGACTTCCTCCTCCAATGTGACCTGGTCTACGGCCCAATCAATCAGTGTCGCGTGGAGGCATTTTGACGAACACTGATCCTCGACCGAGACGCCTTCAGCCACCCAGCGCCGCCAGGCTTGCAGAAAGCATTCCACCATTGGATTGCGGATCACGTAGTATGGGAAGTCTACTGTGCAACGAAGAAAGGGGCCGATCTGGCGGAGTATTTCAACCGCCTGGAGAGCATCCAGAGACTCGCCGAATCGGATGTGAGCCAAACCGTACCGGACCATGAGGTGATCAAGGGGTATCTCCAGAAGCTCAAGGAACTCGACACACGGGAGGATATAGAGGGTCTCTTTGACGGCTTCAGACATCACTGCCAGGCGTACGTCAACCTTGCGTTCGAGACGTTGTGGGATCGCTGCCCTTTCACTACAAACACAGGATATCTCGGGCTCGGGTGTCAATCTTTGAAGCTAGGTGATTCGCTCTGGATAGTTGCGGGATGTCCGTCACCACTCGCTCTCCGTAAGATTGCAGGCCAGGATTCGGATTCTGTTCGTTACAAGTTACTAGGAGAGGCCTATCTTCACGGCATCATGCATGGGGAGGCCGTCAGCGAAGTTGTGCTGTGGGAGTACATAAGCATCAAATGAGAAAAAATATGCGAGGTACCCGTTCTACTTCTTCACCGCAGCCGCAATCACCATCTTCCTGTTCAAGCCCCCTGCCTTCCCAGAAGCCTTCTCGGGGATGTGGCTAACCTCGTCATTGACAATGTACACAAATTTGCCCTCGCATCCAGCGCCCCCAAACCACGTCCGGAAGAGTTCCTCGTCAAAAGCCTGATGGTTCGTGGTTTTGAGTACCTCGGGCATATGTCCTTCGTGAGAGTGACTGTGACCATGCCCCTGGGCCCCATGCACTACAATAGCCTGCGCCGCCGTATCCGAAGTTTCCTCTTCGACGTCAATACCCTCAACAGCGATGAGAACGCCGCCGGGTTTCAGGCAAGCCGCAAGACGAACCAGCATCGCAGGCGGGTCGTCGAGGTGGTGCAGCGCCATGGATATGATCACAACATCAAACGGCGCGGGGCCAGGGAGGGAGGCGTCGGTCATGAGATCGCCAGCGATGGCGTGTGCCCGAGAAGAGTCGTATCCCAGACGTGTGGCATTCTTGTTGAAGCGCTCCACGATTGCAGGTGCGACATCGATGCCGAGTATCTCGTCGACGAAGGGATCCAGTGCCTGCGTTTAGGTACCTGCGTTAGCCAGCGTTGGATATTTGGCAGCAGCAGAAGAAAGCATACCCAAGATGCTCCTCCATGAGCGCAGGCGTAGTCCAAGAGACGGACCGGGTCGGAGGCATCGCGGGGTCGGAGACCTAGATTCGGGGCCCGGGTGCGGAGGAAGCGGGTGAGTTGCTCTGCGAAGACTTTGAGCCAGTCTTCCTCGTAAAACGAGTCGGCATTTTCACTGGAACTTGGTCAGTCATGGCAAAATAGATCAGACGCATCACAGCGCATACTCCCAAAAGACGCGGTTGAGCTCCGCCAGAGATATGGTCTTAGGCTCGACTGATGTGGTCATGACTGCGAGAGTGTATGATGAACGGTGGCATATAACAAATGGTCTATTGTATGTGGTCCTTGATTTGAGGCATCCTGATCTTTTGTTCAGTATCTCGGTTCTATCTTTGATATATCAACGCATTGTCTCCATCTTTCTAGACATTTTTGTCACCGGAGAGTATTCGGCAACTTTCCCCTCAGACAGTAAGCACGGCAACAATACGGGGACATCTACCCAGCCATCAAGGTAGATACAAGAAATCTCTCCGACAAGCGTTACACGTATCACTCCAAATCGGAAGGTCGTCAAATAAGCACACTCACATCGGCTGTCCCACGTCGAGAGCAGCAGCAGGCCGTCTCCGGCCCTCGCCCATCTCGTACATGGCCCACTCGTAAACAGCCCACTGAACCGCGTTGACGATGAAAGCCCGGACGCTACAGATAGTTAGACCCCTGAAGAAGACCTTCATACCGCCCTCACGGTACGCCTCCCGCGCAACCTGCATCGCGCCGGCGCGCTTCGTGGGTTCTGAACCCTGGGCTGGTAGTAGCGGGGCGGCTTCCGCTGGTTTCTCAAACGCTTGGGTCTGCACCCGCGTCTTGATGACATCGAGTGGGAAGATACTCGCCCACGTAACAATTCCTGCGAGCCCGCCGCAGAGAAGTACCTTGGCGGCTTCCTCGCGCAGATTTGTTTCCCCCGTCGCATCAGCGGTGCCGACACCCATCCAGCGCGTACTGAGCTCATAGGACCAAAAGTAGAAGCCGTACCCGATGCTGTCCCGCAGCGCAGTCACGACACCGCCAAAGTACAGACCCCTGATCCCTTCAGCACGCCAGACGTCCTTGGTGATGGCCCAGCTGGATGCTGGCGGCGAGGACAGCTGGGCGCGACACTTGATCAGCTCCGTAGGTGTGCTCACCACCCATGTTGCCAGACCACCAACAGCTCCTGCGATCCAAGTTGTCCAGAGACTTGATTTGACGTTGAGAGCGGAATTGAGCGCGGCCTCGGTGCGGTTGTACGAGACGAACAAGAGAGCGTTGAGGGCGCCATAGCCGAGGATGGGAGCAGCGGAGCCAGTGACCAGCGAGGCGGGGGTCTCGAAGTGACGGATGTATGAGGTCGCTGCAGCGGCGGGGATCTGCCCCGGTGGAGGAGCGGTCGGAGGGGCTTGTCGGCGGACCTTGAGAAGGTCGAGGGGATTGCCGATGATGATGCCGACGGCACCGCTGATGTAGCCAGCCCAGAAGTCGGCGGACATGGTGGCAGGCGAGTTGTGATTGGTCAGGTCTAGGTCTGGCGGTACTGGTTGCGGTTATCAGGGTGGCGGAAGTGGTCGACGCGGGCCTGGGATATAGCAATGACGGTGATGATGCCGAGGTAAGAGACCATCCACGCACCACCTAGACCGGCCCAAAAGCGGGCATTCTTGACGGGGTTCGGATCGGGCTTGTGGCGGGAGTTGAGGTAGCGGAAGTGGAGGAACTGGGAAGTGACGGCACCAAAGATGACGGAGTGCCAGTTGTCGGCGAACCAGACGGAGGCGGGGGAGGGAGGGTCGAGCGGGGTTCGACATCCGGGGAGGGGAGGTTGAGGCGGAGACGGAGGATGTTCTGACATTGTTGCGGGCGCAGCGGTGGTGTTTCCGGTTCTTTGGTCGGGTGCTTTGCGGCCGAGATCTGGATCCACTGTTAGAGATGCGAGCACGTGAAAATGCGGCACTCGATGGTCATGCTGCCATGCGAGCGGCGTGTCGTCATATGCGAGGTGGAGGTCAATTGCGCTCGAGAGAGGTGCGCAAGCAATTGGCAAGTTGAAGGATGGACGGAAAGCATGTTGTTGGCGACATCAGGTACGGATACGGGCAGTGGATTCCTGAGGGAAACACAGAGATGCCTGTCGTCGCCTGATTTTGTGAAATGATTGGTCCACCACTGATATCTCCGTCAGTACCTAAGCTGAGGTAGGTGCCCGCGTGTGCATAGTACGTGCCTGTCCTGTGCCTTGGGTGGACACAGTGTCTGCCTTCCCAAGGTAGGTCCACGTCCCTTCAACCACCCAGGTGGAGACTTACTTACCGAAGTTGAACTTCTTCAAAGGTCAGACTTCAAACTTCGAATGGGGACTTGTATGGGTAGTGTACATTGCTCGTATTCCTACAGGGCCTCATGTGTCTACAAAGCTCATGGCCATCGCCAATTGCGCTGAATTTACTTACCACCAAGGTCGCCAACGTCGCTACCTGGCTCATGCTGCGCAGAGATGGCTTCGCAAGGTCCTTACCAACGACGTGTATATAAGACGCCGCCCTCGGCAGTTCTCGAGCCCGTTGCTCATCCTTAATTCCCAAGTTGATACCAGCTACTACACAATCAATCCAATCTTTGCAACCATGAGGTGCTACCATCTGCCTGATCGTTCCTTCGCGCCGACGTTGACTCTGGCACCATCTTGATGCAGACCGTCTCTCAGAGCGACCCCATTCACGGTGGCTACGACAACTCTTCCCCTTCTGGCGGCCTTCCCTCTATGGTCACCGTCACCCTTCCAGCTGGCTCTGCTCCCGGCAGCATTCTTGGATGCTACAGCGACCTGGCGCAAGCAACTGCTTCTCCTGTCTCTCTCGGCTCTCCTTCTGTGGTTACCTTGTGGCCCACTGCCCGGGGCAATGCGGCTGCACCTGCTGCTCCCACCGCTGCTGCCACTGCTGGCTCTGGCTTACTTCCGACTTTTGACTCTGGCTTTCAGAATCCCGCTGGCGCAGCACCTGTCACATTCACTCTCAGTCATCAGTCGTTACTCTCTGGCCTACAGCTCAGACCCATGCCGCTGTACCTGCTGCTCCCACCGCTGCTGTCACTGATGCTGCCACTGCCGTTGGCTCTGCTCAGCCTGGCGCAGCGAGCACCAGCTCTTGCACATCGACTCTCACACCGCAGCCCATGCTAACGGCAGTCAGCTCCTCGGAACCCAGCTGGACAGCTCACAAGCACCCTGCTTAATGTTAGTTCCGAAGCTGGAAGCGACTCTGGCAATAGGCTTTGTGCCACAGCCATCATCAAACTATGGAGTCGAGTCGGGCTGAACTGGGAGTAAAGTTTTATGGCCGTGAGGGTAACATATGTAACGAAAGATCAATACAATCATAAAACTTGAACACTTTGTTACAAGGTTTTATAATTGCTTCATCAAGAGGAATGTTGTTTGAATGTTTGAAGGTCCTGGAAATGGGAGATCGTAATGACTTAACGACTCTCTTCTTTTGAAGAATTTAGAGTCAAGGTCTTAGAGAACCGAACTTCAATTCAGAGCCCGGCGGAAACTTGTTATGTAGCAATGTACATATTCATCGCATAGCTCTCCCGACTGTTTGCAGCCTCCAGATTTGTCAGGACCTTCTTCTCGGCGACATTTCTGCCGGCCCGGCCATGCGACCCATATCCGACCCGGTCTCGGCGACTTTCCGCCGTAAGTCTCCCGGGATTTCGGAGACATACACTACGGCCTCGCGCCGACAGCAAACACAACAGTCACTTTGTATATAATAAGGATGAATTGTCTTCCAGAATAGCAGCTGTTTTTCTGCGCACGCAAACACATAAAAAACCTATATACATGGCCTCACTATATAAATCACTTTACAAGACACTCGCATCTTCTGTACTGCTAAATCAAATATTTTCAAACACAACCGCACCAATGCTTCACGACGTCCTGATCATCGGTGCCGGTCCTTCAGGACTGGCCGCCGCCACCGCCCTCTCCCGCCAGCTCTACACCTCCGTCGTCTTCGACTCGGGCCTCTACCGCAACGCCCGCGCCAAGAACATGCACAACGTTCTCGGCTTCGACCACGTCCCGCCCCCCGTCTTCCGCGCCAAGGCCAGGGCAGACATCCAGGAGCGCTACTCCGCCACGGTCACCTTCGCCGACGTGGCCGTCACCAAGACCACCAAGCTCGACAACGGCCTCTTCAAGGCGGAAGACGCCGCGGGCAAGGCGTGGTTCGGGAGGAAACTCGTCCTCGCCACCGGCGTCACGGACATCACGCCCGACATCGAAGGTTACGACGACTGCTGGGGCCACGGCATCTTCCACTGCCTCTTCTGCCACGGCTTCGAGGAGCGCGGGTCCGCGAGCGCAGGCATCATCGGCGTCGGCATGCTGGCAAACGTCAAGATGGCCACGCATGTCGGCTACATGGCCCGTCCCCTAGCCAAAGAAATCATCATCTACACCAACGGAAACGATGCACTCGCGCCGGAGCTTTCGTCCCTACCCGCATCGCCATTCAAAGTAGACACACGAAAGATTGCCAGGTTGCGCATGGGTGAGAAGACCAACGTAATCATCACGTTCGAAGATGGCACTGAGGCCACGGAGGGCTTCCTTGCTCACGCACCCTACACCAAGCCCAACGGGCCATTTGTGGAGCAGCTTGGGCTGGAGGTGGCGGAGAATGGTGACATCAAGACGTCGCAACCGTTTGGGGAGACAACCGTTTCGGGCGTCTACGCAGTTGGTGATTGTGGGAACATGATCAAGGCAGTTGCACCCGCAGCTACGAGCGGCTCGATGTGCGCGGCGGGCATAGTGGTGCCGTTGCAGAGTGAGCCTAAGATTGAGTTGGACGTTGAGGACGTGGAGAAGTTGTTAGGATAGACCATTCGTTGAATTACTATTTTCCAAGATCACATAGACTTATAGAATCAAAACATTCAAGTTCAGTTAGGGGTTTCAAATGGATCATTGAGTGCAAGAATCGAAGATTTGTTGAGCTCGACATAAAGTGGGCAAAAGGCAGCTCCTTCCCGCCTATATTCAGCGAAGCAAATGTAGAAATTGGTAGAGACTAGGTGATTTTGAAAGGGCCAAGGTCTCAGGGTATTCCACCAGCTTCCATCTAATCTGCAGCAAGCATATCTCAGCAACACTCACACCTTGAAGCTCTTGCCTCGCGTAGCCTTTCGTCGGCGTCGGTGCACACGCCCCATGTTTGAACCCCTTGTGTCTTTGAATAAACAGTCGCTGGGCATGTGATGATGCCGAGTCGGCCATCAGGTCATCCCTATCCTGGTCTCCTTCACAAGGGGGACAAGCACACGACGGTCCGCCGTTGCATGCAACCCACGATGGCACATTCGACCGGGTGCCATCCGCAAAGGAACACTCCCTTGCACCCAGTTCCCTTCTACGCGGATGTAAATCATCACTCAGCTCAAGGCAACAAGATTAATTGGAACAATTCTCTCGCCGTCTTCACCGCCTCCAACATCCAGGTACGCAAGGAGGCCACCACACCGGGCCCAACAACGTTTTGGGGATTGATCCAGACAGATCAGGGGTTTCTTCTGGTCACTATGGTCATCAATTCTCTCAAAGCCATGTTACATGAGCATTGCCGGTAGCTTCACTCGACTACAGATGCAGACATACGTGACATGGACTCACCGATCTGCGTAGCATGAAGCATCTCCGCCCCCAGCTGAGGATGAAAAGGGGGGCCAGCGCTGCTCAGCAGGCTGAAGGATTCCACATGCCTCTTACGTTTTGGCGCATCTCAACACCCGTCAAATACATCGGAAATGATGTACGGTTCGGTATGCAGCGGGCGGAGGAACTTGACAATCCGGTCTTGTCCACAAGGAACTTCGTTTGGAAGTTTGAAGTGGGACAACACGACGTGATGAAAGGGAGTAGCCCTAGAAACGTGAGAATCAATGAAATGTAGAAGACCAAAGAGCAGAGTCGACACCAACATCTCTGTAACATCTTCTCCTACGACCATTATGCTTCTTATTCCACATTAAAACACCTTGTAACGGGCATTCTCAAAAATGTTAGTGTCACCGCATTCGATCCCCTTGCTTTCCAAAACTCCCGAGACTCCTGCATGTACGGCCCGACTTCATTTGACATGCACTAGTGCCCACATCGCCCCTCCCCGTCGTCGCATGCCGTGAATTAGGCAGCAGAATTAACTACCCGCGCTCTCCCGACCGCATCCGAACCGAGAGAAGCAACACCAGCAAATCAAGAAGTTCTCTGATATCGCTTGGAACGCCACAATTAATGGATGTGCGATGAGTTGTCGGGTATGGCCCATGTCTGAAGGATGTTTCAATGGACGATGGGCCCCTATTGTTTCGTGGGAACTCCCCGAAGAGGGACCCTCTGATTTTTTCCAGTGCTTGAGGAACAACTTTTCCTGTGGGCTCCCGTACACCCTGACCCGTTATTGTTGTTCTTGCTATCATAGTCTCTACTGTTGTCGTTGTCGTCGTCGCTTCGATCGTCGCTTTTGTTCCTACCATCGTCGTCTCTACTACTGTCGTCCTAGAAATATGATGTTCTCAGAATTATTAGTAACTTGCTCCAGACCGCCTTGAACCCATATTCCTGTTTAAGGCGTCATTACTTAGCATGCGACCTTTCTAAAATGGGAGTTGCCCTCGGGAACCGGCGGACATCTCATAAATGCTTGACAGGGCGACACAGCCAATTTCCTTAGCAGCAGCAACCTCCAGACATCACGAAAAACCATATGGAATACTACAACCTCAAATATCCTCAATGCCACCATTATCATCCATGTCTCGATAATCCCGAGCCCAGCCCTGCAGGAATCACCCAGAAATAATCGCCAGCTTTGGCTGGTGTTCCATCCCGCGCTCCCGCCGGGCCCATGGCATCAAAAGCCACCCTCCTCTCAACCCTTCTCGACAACTCTGAGTAATATCCCCCGATCCTCAGACCAGGCAAGCAAATCCGTGTTCATCCCCCATCAACCCGTGACGGAGTTTCCCTCGCTGAAGCGCGGTCTAGACACCCGTCCGACTCTCCACCCCCCTCCCGCGAAACGAAACTCTATCAAGTAAAACAACATGGCGGGTCTCCTTGTTTTTGTGAGCATTGAATAAGCACTAGGATTGTGTCCAGACGGAGTGTTCTGGACTCGGTCGTGGTCGAGAAGGAATGAAACTCGGGGCACTGGATGGGTTCTATTCATCATCAACTTGACGTTTTCCCAAAGGCTCTGATATTCCCAGTATTCGTTTCACCGGGATTGACGACTGACACAAGTCAGGAAACTCGTCATTTTGTTACAGCGGCATCATGTATCCGAATCTGAACATTACTCTTCCAATGACATAGTTCATCTGCAAGACTTTTTACCTAACGTGTGCTAAGACTCACCACGGAGTTTCCTCAAGACTCCCAATGCCCTTGTAGCAAACCATCGACCGCCAGACGTAGAGCGCAGACCGGGATTATTCGCAAGACCTAGCAATGCTGTTCTTCTCTCTAACTCATAGCATTCCGAGACCGACCTCCATGGATCCACAATGAGTCTTAGTACTGCAAGTAACGTTGCCGCAAACCGGGGCATGCCTCCGCATAAACCTTTAAGCTTCACCACCAATCATGCACTAACACCAGGAACCCCTTCGCAAAATTTCCCCACAGTCCAAGACTTCACATGAGAAAAAGGTTTCCCTCGGAAGGGCTGGTGAGTGTGCAGTGTCTCCTCTCGACGATCATGCGCGCAGATCATAGCAGCAGGAACAGAAAAATAAGAGTTAGGTTTTGACGGGTGTCATCCCATCACATCCCCGTCGGCTCACGGGATGAAACGGTGAGGCCGCGCGGGGCTTCCTCGACGTGGGGGTTCCAGCCAGCATCTAAAATAGAGGTCGTGTTTGAGTCAAACAGACATAATATCATGGTCACGCTGCCGTACAAGATTGAGAGAGCGGTTTTGTGACAAGAAAATAGAACTGCTGGTTTAGTGTCCCGGCCAAGGTGCAGGCTTGTCGAAGCCCAGCAAGGCGGGCGCTGCAACCAGGAAGCAAATCATGCACGGAGCGTTGACGGAGAGGGAAGGCGCCCGGCAAAGTCCATCTGGGACTCTGCAGACCAAATGAGGTACGCGATGGCGAAGGAAGCAT